TACGACGACAATGAGGCAGAATGTGGTAACAATGTTCCAGGTGGTGGTGGTGCACCTGATATATCTTCCCTAGCGGAGGGAGGGTATGGTAATCACGGGGTAGGAAAGCAAGTGTCAAGATGTGATGGTATGATTCCGCTCGGAGTTGGACTTGGATGTGGATGGATCATGTGGTTTGTTTGAATAAAATGAGAATTTGGATGTACATGTACATGTACAGCTTCGGATGTCACCGGCTGTTGTGGGGGAACGGGGTTTGGGTGGTCCATACTGTACACTATATCAAGTGTTAAAGTGGGAAAGATCGTGTGTTCAAGTGAATGGATTCTGTGTTGAGAGTGGGATGGTTGATTTGAACAGGTATGTATGAACTGAGTTATTACGGGGTTCAGTGATTTAAAGTTGGGATTAAGTGATAGAAGTAAGAAAATCAGACAAGGAAATTGAGGAAGAAAATCGGACATGGAAAGTATTGTGAGGGAGAGGGGAGGAACTTCTATATGAAGCATATTGCTGAAGGGCCAGTGATGTTTGACATGCAGGGGTCGGTCCGGCGCCAAACAATTTGGGAGCCCTTGCAGTTGTTTTCTTCATATTTGTTGCCCCATCAATGGTGAAGGGGCTCCAAAGAAGTTAATTGACGTTCCAAAAGGGGCTCATTCGTGTTTTGGTGCCCGGTTAGGGAGCCCTTGATAAGCCCACCTACCTTGTCCATAACGGTATTAATCTTGTGTCAAGCAATACCATTCTCAGCCAAGTAATCAATCAAACCCTCCACAGTGGTTTTCTTGACAATATTTCTGTCCTTGTATTGAGCCCAATTACTGTAAGTTGTGACCCACTTCAAAAGCAGACTCATTGCACTTTCACCTTGATCATTCTTGTCATCTTCCCACCTCACTGGTGCCTTTCAAAATGAAGTAGGTTCCATGGTCTCATTTGTTGGACTGAAACCAAACAGAAACAATCTTAGTGTTATGATCTTACATGTCACCGCTCTGTGACACACACTATTATATGTCACTGATTAGATTACTATCTAGTGCGCATTGCGCCAGCTGTATTGCTCCTCATCTGACAATCTACCTAATAGCCACAACCCACCATTCACAGGGGCCAAAATCATAGCTCACATAGAGGTGAGCACACCAAGCTTAGAGTTTTGTTCCAGTTTTCTTCAAGTTTAATTCAGATTTTCTTCCGTGTTTGTCCCATTATTCCTCTCTTTCCTTCTTGCTCATCATCTCTGAACATGATCAACAAAGTCTCAGGAGACTGTGGTCTTGCTCATGCTGCATTCCTCAGCCTTCCTCTTTTTTGTTGAGTCTCAGGATTAGCTGAGGGGTTTCTCAGCCCTTTCAGGTCTATACACAAGGAATGGTTCTGAGTCAAGTTTTGGACTGACCAGGCCTGAGGTGGTCCAGCCAGTAACGGACCGCGCTTGCACAGATAGCTGCCAAATAAGGGCCTGCCTGTTGCTCTGATCCGACCTCAGAGCGTAACCCGTTTGTGGCCCCTTCTAGGCAAAATGTGGTGGCCGGGTGAAACCATGAGATTGAAATGAACATCATCACATCATCCATTACTACCTTCCTCAAAGGTCTACCTTTGAAACAGGTTTCAAACACTTATTGTACCACTCTTTAGTACCTCGAAGACTTATGAATTACTATCAACAAACTATCAGCAAACATCACCATCCAACTCATACTTCAATAGCTATCCTACTCGTTGATATCACATCATCTCTACTCCGCCACGTAATCAAAACCATGAACCATCAATTTACTTGACTTTTATACATGCTTCACGTCTTTTACCTCAACTTACATCATAACCTTTACAAAGCCTTAAATTACAAAACACGTCAAATCAAGTTGGTCATGCTTTGAATCAAATCAAACCTTTAGCCCATTCTTTTGTACTCAATAGAATCGTACTTAATTTTGAATCTTATTTAGTTTCAACTCAACCTATACTTGAAGATTTAGTAGATTTGGCTATCAGACTTATGCTATCAAATTCAAAAGTAATGGATCAAGATGCTACAAGATCATTTTCAAATTCAATAGAATTCCCAAGTTTCACCGACAAGTTGCCCTGTCTTGAAACAGAGGGTTATGTAACACTTCAGCAATCCTTCGATTCCTCCCACCGACTTGCTCCAATAAGCCGTACAATTTCTTTAACTTGAGTTTGATCTGATGATGAAATTGACTTTCATGAGCTCGATAAGCACTCTAACCTTTTTCAGACAGATCTCAAATATTATTGGCTCTAATTTGAGAATTGGGTCTGCAACAAATAAGTTTGGCTTGGATTTTGATAGAGATGAAAGAGGTCAGAAGGTTATGTTTTGAGATTTTTCAAAATCATCACTCATTCGTTCAAAACAGTTGCTTTTATGATGTATGGATATCAATAGCACTTGACTACTAAGAATCCTTCATAAAAACACGCGGAGACGATGCTTCCCATTCGTCCCTGAATAGAGTTAATTCAACATACATGTCCTAGATGATTTAGCATGATCAAGGGATGACTAGCACGTCACGAGGGTAAAGACCGAAAGTCAAGTAGCAGTAGCCAAAGTCAATGGGGGCTTCTATAAACATCCCATTCGAATCCTTACCGTGCAAATCAAGAGTCAATAAATGAGACATTTGATCATCTAAGAGAACTCAGGTCATCAAAAACGACTTTTGCAGTTTCAGGAGTAACTTGTCTGCACAGTCGAACAGCTCAAATTTCTCATAGACTAAAGACGTATTCGATTGTGTCAGTGTTTTTCTTGAATGAATCGTAGTGTTTTTAGTTCTTACACTTGTTATTTCTCAGCCTCATTTTTCACATTTAAACCACCAATCTTCTACAACATAGTACAGCTACTCTCTAATTCACTACAATAATTCTTTTGAAATACATGTTACTAACTATTTCCAACTCAAGTTTCCCTTACTTTGTTGCCTTTTGTTCTTTGTAAAAAAACCTTTCTAACTAGTTTCAGCAATACAAAAGAACCCTGTTTGTGCGTGGCGCTTACACCTAGCCTATGAGCATATCAGACGATGATTTTGTATCGTCACTAATATGTCACATTCAAATTATATATTCCAAGATAAGGGATAAAATATGAACCTAAAAAACTCACAAGGGAAATAGTAGGTAGTCGTGTGGCTGGGTTTTTTTTTCTCCTTTTTCGAATTGCTCAAGGAAGCAGAGACTTTAATATTTGTTGATTTGACTTCAGATGTAGTCTTAGTAGTAGATATTGAATTGGGAACAGCTAGACTTAAAAAGTGACTACTGCCCATTTTTGCGTTGATTGTGTTGATTTTTTTGTCAGAGCCTCCCGTAACACGGGCGTTTGAGGTGGCCCCATGATCAGCCGTAGTGTTGGACCTGACTAAAGTTGAAGGTGAAGAAACCTCGGGTCCCTCGATGAGAGGAACACTATTGGTACTGGATATTCCATTTGTGGTCGCGGTCGCGTCCGAACAGGTGGAGACAGGAAACGATGTGTATGGAAGAATGAACGTTGTTGGGGACTTGTTTGGGATACCAAAGTTTAGGAGACCGGAACTGGCAGTGTGGATAGAGTGTTGATTGATTTTTCTGGATTCTCAAAGCAAGGATTTTTGCAAATCGTGATGTTTACAGCTTGGTATTTGGCCGGTTGCTATCTTCATCCGCTTTTCGACCCTGCTGGTAGTGCTTCCTTTCACATGTCCAATGTAGTCAAGTGCGTGTTTTTGTGAGGAAGACTGAACCAAAAGCATGGAAGCAGATGATTTCACCCTGTTTGAGGACTGGAACGGAGGGACCAAGGTATGGACGTCACCGCCAAAAGTATCCTCGAATGTTCCAGCTTCAATTTCTATTGGGTAAGATGTCAATGAAACATTCATGAAGCTTGGAAGCAAATGTCTTACCAGAGATCTCTTTTGAAATTTGTATTAAAACTGCACTGAAGGTGGAGGCCAAAGCCGTAGTCATAGTCATCGACCCCGGTAACTCACAGAGGCTCTGCTTCAAGTTTTCAAGAGCTCGTAGGTAAGATTCACAGACAAATCCAGTCACTATTTTGGAGGCAGTTCTGTATGAGTTTTCAATACCCTTCTCTAGCAATCTATTTTGAGAACACATACCCGGATTGGAGGAATTCGCTGCTGATGAATCTTGTGTACCCTTGTCCCCGGTAAGTAACTTTGAGTCTACAAGATGCTTTGTAATGCTGAGCGGATTCGCTTCTAAGAGAGCGTGTGATTTGATGAGCATACGTTGCTGAGTAGGAGAAGCCTGTGATGCCATCCTTCCAGAGGGCGATATAAAGCAATAAAATGTCAAAAAATCAGATAGTCAGAGCAATGCGGCAAGTCAGGATGGGGTAACGCGAAAAGTAGAAAATTATACTCGCTCTCCGTGAAAGGCTTGATTTGTAGTTGATGAAGCCATTGTTGCGATATGATCGCTGAAAGTATTTCATCCTTTATGCATCCAATTCCTACATGCTGTACATATCATTTGCATGTTCTTTGATTCAAAGTTGAAGGGGAGTTATATACTCAAGTTGGACCCTACTGCACCTCACCAGACCCAAGTTGTAACCCTATATTGATTCGGAAACTTCAACATTTTGTTTTTGATAAGTGTATGAATCAGAATTCTCGTTTGATATTGTCTTTTTTGAAATTGAAATAATGAGTTGATGTTCAGATCCATGGATAGTTCGATTAGTTTGGGTAGTCTGATTCATTGATTGTTGTTTTGTTAATGTGATATTGTCGATTTGTTGTTGATATTTTGTTGTTGATAAATATGTATGTGTTGGGAATTTTTTCAAAATCTGAAGTACATACATGTACACCCTCTCAGAGCGTCAGAGTCTGAGAGGCGCGCGGACGGGGCCGCGCAGGGCTTGTTTATAAGCTAACATCATAAGCTGCCCAGTGCCAGCATTCGATTCAGTACACATAAGTCCCACTTCAAATACACAAGTTGCGATTTGAACCAATCGACTATCATCCTACAGTAATGCCACCAGCACCCTACGACTCGTTCTCTCTCACAATTGATAACCTTTGGACTTAAAAAACCGTGTGGAACGCGTCAGTATACTTCACTCTGACTTTCATCAACTCTTTTCGCAATCTGATTCGATGATGGTTTGTTTGAATACGTATCATTAGCCAGAGAACCAGATGTCTGCTTGATTTGTTTGAATGAGTTCAAATTGAAGGTCGGATGTATCGTTCTTCCATGCGCTCATCTCTTTCATGCTGAATGTATCTTTAAATGGTTTAATCAAAATGTTGCTTGTCCTAATTGGTGAGTCAGAGTGAAGTTGGGTGAAAAGTACTTTGATCAGCATTTTTACGATCTACGGTCAATTCTAACTTTTTTTTTCATGTTTCTTTCGATTTTATCGAATCATCAGTCGGCACCGACTACCACAAGACTCATCTTCTTTTCAGAGTCAGAGGAGGTTCCGAACCATTTCCCAAGCAAAGATACCGACTCGGAGGATGAATCATCTTCAAGCTCTTCTTCAAGCTCTTCATCATCATCAAGCTCTTTGCAATCATCAAGTTCATCATCCTCTAGGTCATCATCGGTCAGACGCTTGACATCGTCATTAAGTTTGACATCGTCTTCAAGGCCATCATCGTCCTCAAGCTCATCATCAGTCCGACACTCAACATCGTCCTCGAGTTCAAGATCGCTTTCAGGCTCCTCATTGTCCTCGAGGTCATCATCAATTTCACACTGGACATCTTCCTCACGTTCGAGATCGCCTTCAGGTTCATCATTATCCTCAAGTTCATCATTATCCTCAAGGTCTGCATTTTCATCAAGCACCGGGTCATCATGATGTTAACTTCTTCTGTTCATACGATTTCATAGCTCAACCTTAAGATCAGCCCGTTCTTCGAATAGGGATAATACTGCTGCGCCATGAGCAAGGTGCTCCAGGCAAAACTCGACATTTCAAAGACTACAAACATCGTCAGTCAAATTAATGACGGAGACAGCGATACAGAATCTTCCACCCTACTCAAATTTGTCCGCAAGCTTCTAAGCAATACCATTAATTGGGTTTGAAATCCAGGTTTATCTCTTGACCACGAGAAAGTGAGAAATTTCTCTCGGGTTCCAATTCCTTTGAGTTCACGACTCTTTTTCAATCTCTCAACTCTTACTCCCATATCATATCAACCAACCCATGATATTCTCCTTTGTTATAGCTCAATTTATATTTGCGAAAGAAGATGCTTCAAGATGCCAAGTTATTTTTGTGTGGCAAGGTACAAGACTCCAGAACTGAACTTCAAGTAAGTATTCATCAATTTTTGACTTTCTGTATCACTTCTTCGTCACTATCAGATATATGCGGATGCCGCTCTTTCATTCGTTGATTCTCTGTACCTTTTTTCACAACCTGTAATTTTTGAATGTGTCGAGTGTAGAGCTATAGACGCTGGTGTGTCCAATTTGTCCTCAAATTTAATGGGTCGGGCCAGACTTATATAATTAAGTATTGTTGTAATCTGTATCAGAAGGATTAGGTGATGCCGAAATCTTAGCGCAAGAGAGTGGGTGCGTCCCTCAGTCAGTATGTCTTTTGTTTTTGGTAGCCTAACAAACTATCATACAAGTGCGATTTTGAATCAGATTTTAACCACATAGACTGTTGGTCACCTAGTCACTCTTGTCAGCATTCACATCTTTTCTTTAATTCTCAAATTTTATATTATGGAATTCATTTGGTCTTGAATTGTTTTTTAGTCTATTTTTAATTTTTATGTTAAAGATCAAGCTCAAAAAAATGTATCTCATTTGGATAAAATCTAATGTTGACTGCCTTTGATTCTGTACAAGAATCAATATCAGAAAGTAACACACAGAACTTTCTGAGAGAAACTTGACAGTTAGAAATCATTAATCAGAAGCAAAACATGGGCAAAATTTATCAATAGCTAAAGTAACAAGGAGCAATTAAATCATATATTCTATCCATTAACATAAATGTTTTTAGAGTCCAATTGATCTCCGATTTTTCCGATTGATAGTTGAAGACTATTCTCACTACGTAAGCACTCTGACTGAAAATATGTACAGGAGAAAAGGTAAGGATAAGAATAAATCAATACATAGGCAAATCAATTAGGGAATGATAGCTTCAGTGCATCAAATGCCATAATAGGCGCCATAAGGATGTGCCACAACCGCTTCAAACATAACAAGGAGCTTCGCCTTTAAAGTCCGACATACAATTGCTTTGTCTGGTTCAAAATGCCAAATAAGCCGTCGGAGGTTGAAGCAGGTGATAGACGAGATGTCGCAGTTAGGTTTGAGATATTTACAAAGACTTTGAGGTAAAGTATCTATCTTGTTCCAAAAGATGGGATCGTCGGTTACTGATGGCATTGGTGCTCTTTTAAGTGGACGTCGTTGTACATTCCTTCGCACACCTCTTTTAGGATTCACCACATAGACACGCTTGCGAGCAACTTGCCGTCTAGGCCGTACGTTGATTATAGCGGTTTTGATACGTAGTCTAACAGGCATGGCAAAATATGCACAAAATGAACCTAAAAAGAATAATATTCCTGGGAAATCAGTCACTTGGATGCCATAGGTTTGTTGATTGAAGAGCAAAGATACTGACCGTGGAAAGAAAGAGCTGATACAAATGAACAGATTGCTGATTGAGATACCTTCCGATTTGTTGCACGATCCGGCTTTCAATCAAAATTAATTAAAGGCTCACTCAGTTCCAATAAATGAGTGTATCAAGGGAAGAAAAATGAGAAGAACTCACAGAGTCTGTTTATAAACTTCAAGTTTATGTGAGTTGAAAGTTGGAGAGCAAATAAGTCGCCTAGAGGAAAGAAGAACTGAGCAGTAGAGCGATAAGAGCGTAACACTGAAATGTAGTAAAAGCAAAGGCAGTAGTATGAAGTTAAAGAGCACACAAGGCACCAAGAGAACTGAACCCGGAGTTGATGGTGAAAGTTGAGAAAAGAAAAACTGATAAAGTAGGGCAATAAGAACGTAATACTAAAACGTAGTGAAGGTAAAGGCTTGATTAGAAAGATGGTGGGATTGAAATTGAATCGTCACCTCAGAGGACATTTATGGAAAAATAGAAGGAAACTTCACCCGTCTGTCAAACTATGCACAAAGATAGGTAAAACACAGGCAGGATCAAGCTGACCAAGGGAATGGAAGGAAAGCATCATAGTGAAGGTTAAACAAGCACCGCAGTAAAAAAAGACTGTCATAATGGAAGGAGATCAAAGGAGGACGCCACATTATCTTTGAACTCATCTCTTTTTTCTATCCCCTTCTGCAATTCATGGACTTGTTTTGTCTCAGATATCGAGGAGTGTTTATAGCATCAAAACATATATATGTACACACATCACAAAGAACCAAAGAACTTGTATGCATGAAGCAACCTCTTTGTTTAATGGGTTACGTATTGAAACTTTGTGGGGTACGTAGTTCAAGATGAGATGAGATGAAAAAAAGAAAATCAAGAATGGGCAAGTCTCCCCACATGGCCAAATGGAAGATAATAGATGCAAGCTTAACTTGAGTTTGGTTTGTTCTCCCTATCATAAGAGCACTACCACCACACCAAGTCGATATCGAGATTCCACCGTTTTGCCCGTTATGGGAGACACAAGAATGGCAATCATGTCTCTCATAATTTAGATTTTGCTTTTGGTCTTATATACTGACCGCCGAGGTTTCTCTCTGATTCATGGGAAGAGGCGGAGAGTATTGTACGTCTTGAAAGATGCCCTCAAAACAAGGGAACAGATCATACGAGATGTCCTTTGACGCTGATGATGGAAGTTTCTGAAATTACACGCGCCAGGGGCGGTCAAATCCGAGACTTGTTGTTCATATACATATATGTTGAGACACAGAGGCATCTGCTGGTAAATTAGGTCCGTCTTTTCCACCTTGTAAATCAGACTTTTCTTTTATAAAACTCCTTCTGGTCATTGGATCCCAAACATCTTTTGAAAGTTACTTACATCGACTATACTCCAATCTATCACTTCCTTAACACAACAAAGTTTGTCATGAGTGTAGTCAGAAGTTTTCTTGGGTTTTTCAAGAAGCGCATCATGTCAGCAACAAGCTGGTTTGGTGAGTTGTCTCGTCACATCTTTCAGATACATCTATTGACTTCCTTTTCTGAACGAGAGCAGCTCGTGACCACTCTTCAACAAAAACCACCGGTACTGATGCAGCAATTGCAGCAAAATCAGATTCCGCCATTCTGATGGCTTCAGTCCATCCCGAGTTCACTCCGACTTGGGGTGACCCTTTTCGAACTCCTGAATTTACCAGAAGCATCACCTCATATGTTTCTGACTCGATTAGCTTGTCAAGCGGAACTTCTCATGATGGCCAGGTGCCTTCACTTGATTTTGATCCATTTCTTGCTTCTAACTCCAGTACACTTAACCTTGCATGCTTTCCGTGTATGTTTGAAGAACATCTATATGCTGTTTTCTTGCAAATCCTACTTGATTACTCTTTCTGATTGGTGCGCTTTGTTGTTTGGAAGGTACAGCAAAGCTACCACTGCCACCCCACGACCAATCACCCATTCTGCCCTTGACGGACAGCAACAATACGAAGCAACCTGCCACTCTCTCAGATGTGACTCAATCTACATCCACAGGTTCTCTTATCAAATCTTTGATTACGTCAAATATCCTCAATTCTGCTTCTGGTGGTACCAGACTGGATGCTGCTAGTGAGATCTGTAGGCCCATCCTTACTTTATAAATTTTTCTTTGAAATCCTTTCTCTTAATTTGAATTTGACCACTTCGCATCCCTGTTTCGATCATACTATTACATCCTGCATTTTTGGAACATACCATCAAGCTCACCGGGACACCAACAGTCCGAATGATTCTAGAAACGGATCTGGAGTGGATGTTATTATGGAAATTGAGGATGTGTATGGTAGGTTTGAAAATCCTAGTATTTCTTCTTATCAAACACTGACAAATTGATCTGTCGGATGTGGATATCCCTTCCAAAGGTGCCAGCTTGTCAGATAATAAAAATTCTGCGTCCAAAGGTATTATCGTTGAATCTTCTATCATGTACAACGTTCCCACTTCTGCTTCAAGTGGTATCAACATGTTGCTGGACGCTGCTTGTGTAATCTGTAGGTCTCTCCTTATTTCATTGACGGTTCTTTCAAATCGTTGCAGTCTCTCTTTTCGTATATTTCCCAATTTTGTTTTGACATATTTGTCCTGATCATAAATTTCACATCTTTGGAAACCCCCATCAAGCTCAACGGGACACTGATAGTCCGACAGATGGAAATCGATCTGGAGTAGAAGTTTTTATGGATATTGATGATGATCATGGTAGGTTTGAAAAACCTAATATTCTTTCTTGTCGTAAATTGACAGATTGATCTATCAGATGGGGATATTTATCCTGGACGGTATGAACAAGTGCAGCGTGGCTTCACCAATCTTGCATTCAGCTGTGGATCCATGGCCGAGAATGATCATTCACATGATCTTGCAAAAGATTCCAAGTCAAATTCAGGAAAATGCCCAATGGAAACTCCAACAGATGACGGTAAGAATAAATGAAGTTTTTGTCACATTGATTGAGATACTCAAATTTATCTTGAAACAGTTCCACGATACAAGCGCAGGAAGGCTTGCGGTTCAAGATCAACTGCATCACTCTCTGGTAAATCTTCCACCACCATCTATAATCCTGATGGTCAGTCGATAGTTTAACTGTGTTCTGAAAAATGAAGCTATACTGACAAGCCAGGTTGCTTTACGGGTATCTTCTGTGTGTATTTGTGAAGCAGCCTGTCAAGTTTGCAATGATTACATCGATGAATTTAAAGAAGAGATGAACCATATCATTCAGTCAGTCCGGGAAGGAAAGACACACTTTATTCACTGTCCTCAAGTCTTATGAGTCTTACACTTGCCTTTATTTGTTGTCTTCATCTCGCTTTCTTTACTATATTCTTTATCATCTTGTATATATGATTGAATCTCTTTTCATGTAAATATCTTCTTGTGATCTATTGCCAAGTTCAAAACTGTCAAGTATTGCTGATTGATGTATCACTCTAACCTATATCG